GTCGACACCAAAACAAAAAAGGATAGAGGAAAACTTCTTGACAAGCAAAGAAATCTTTTATACTTGGTAAATACTTTGTATAAAGGAGATTTCAAAACAGTCGTCGCACCTGATGAATCTCCCTCCATCAGTAATTAGGAAGGTAGTACCTATAGGTACTTATTGCTGTCTTGATACCTAAACTGTTTTAAATCCTTTTCTTCAATTTTTAAGTTTTGACACAAGCTGCCAAGAACAGCTATACATGGTTGAAGAAAAACTGTGAACCGTCATAATATTATAAGTGACGTCAGAGCTGAAACTGTTTAAGAAAGGTCATTGAAACTGTTCCCTCAAAAAAAAATGCCTCTAGTCTCCCTAAAGTGTATTTTATTTTTTTATTCTACAAGAATGAATTGGGTTTCAGCATCATATTGCAGGACGGTATCTTTATATAGGATGTTGTATAATTAGCATTGTGGCCGAATTACTTTAATTGTAAGTAACAATGTTTCCAGTAAATAATAAAGAAATGTTATAACTAGAGTCGTGAGTGAGCGACAATTGCGGCGTAAATAATCTCCATATTCACTGGTTTCACTGCTGCTGCTACTTTCTATCAACGCAATTGCCATTAACAAGCGATTTTTGACATTTTTGGTATTAGATTCGCAGATAAATATGAAAAAAAAAAACAATAAAAAATTACAATTTCGAACAGTTTTTGTATGAAAAACCATCAACCACCAATAACCTCAATTTCAAAAATAACAATACCTAAACAACTGCACTGAGTGCGACACGAGCTTTTTAGCCGGTGGCGCACTAGCAGCACTCGGTGCAAAACTCCGAGCATTGCTTTCCCAATGAAATATAAAAGTGCAGCGCGACTCTGCCAATGGATCACGAATATTGCACCAGTGTTGCACTTGCTCTACCAATGAAATACGCTATCAGAGTCTCGCCCTGTCACAGCAGCACAGAGGACTGCGAGTTCGGTTAATCCTTTTCTCTGCAAGCTGAAAAATGACACTGTTGGCAGAAGTCCATGTGATTTTCGATTTGAAGTTTCAAAGCTTATCACGTGGTTCTGTCATCTGTTTGCTCGCTGAGGATTAACCGAACTTCACTTGTGATTCACTTCAGAATGAATCCAATCGAGCATTGAGGTAGTCGAGTTTAAGAGTTCGAGTTCGGGGATTTACCGAAAAATAAATATGATTATTGATGGAATTGGCAACTAACAAATGATACCACGTTGAACCAATAAAGTTCGAACTCGATTCCAGCTTAGTTCTAGAATCTAGCAGGCGGTACAAATGAAAACTTCAACGAGTCCAACGAATGACTTGTTATTATTTGATTTGTTGCAACATAATTCAAACTTCTTTAAAAATCTAATCTATCTACTAAAGTTTTGCATTATTTCGTTTTGTCAGTATTTTGTGCATTTGTGGGAATTTTTCCTCAAAAAGGGAATTTTTGGACTCCCTTGTGGGAAATTTGATTTTCGGTTGACGCCATGTTTTTTGTTACTATGCAATGTTTCGTCCACTCAATAGTTTTAAGTTATTTGTATTAAATTGTTAAGATTGTCCTTCATTGAATTATTTTTGTTTTGTTTATTTTGCCAATTATTTATTGAAGTACATACTTTAAATTTGGAGTAAACTTTTAATCCACGATTCACCCTTCAGATTATTTTCGCGTTCTTGAATATTTGAGGTCTTTACCTACTTAACGCATTGCCCTCATATATGCGTGGAAGAATCATACGACAATTCGACGTGACGCGTCGGAAATTAAAAACCAGTGCATTTTTGGTAATGGTCGCGATTAGAAGCCCTCCGTTCTCGACCAATTTTACTCGCACTCAACCATACCGCAAATAACTTTCCGGTTGGCCGTGGTATTCGCGAACGGTGATCGATCAAGTTCAACCGCAACTCCGCAACTCGCAGCTGTAACTGGATTTGGATTAGGTAAGATCTCAATTGTACCCGTTATTTTGAAACCGCAAAATACAGTCCACTTTTCTCACAGCTGATGCTCAGCTATAGACTAGATTTTGGAAGTCAATTATTATTTAAATATTGAAATTTTACTCCGCATCCCGAAACCTGGTTCAAACACGACAATGCAATGTGGGGTGAAACCGGAATTACCATTGGGCAAAACCAGGACGTCCCGGTTTTACCCGACAGGTATCTGGTTGGAAATAGTGAACTGCTAAATAAATACTGCTTTGCCTCGCTATGACTGAAATAAAGTTTTAATGGTTCTTTTGACTATTTAATTGTATGTTGTTTTTACCTAATGTAGATATGTTCAAAACAAAATTCAATTTTTGCGTTGTTCTTTTTTTCAGTTCGATTTTTTGTTGCAGACATGCCACGCAACTATGTGCGAAAAACAAACAGACAGAGCTGGTCCAAGGAAAGTATGGTGTAACGAAGTTACAGAAATTTTCCGTTCACCCACCGAACGCAAACACATTGCGAACTCCCTCTAGGCCAAACACATGATGGACAAGCTCTATGCCCCAACAGGCGTCCGCGTCGCCCAGCCGCCCTACTACTTTACCACCAAAGTGGGAACCGAACCCAGCGAGCCGGAAAAGATTTCGTCGAAGAGGGACTAGCTGACCGACCCCCGACTAGACTAGAAGTCCGAAAAATTATTTAAATACGCAAAAGTGCTTTAAACCGTTTTTCTTTTTTTTTTGAGTTCCTGTAATTAATTTTGTGCCAGTGAATATTCTGCTGGTATGTACCGTTAATTTTAATTTTTTTTCTGCCGTATTCCGTGCTATAACTTCAATTAAAATCCGAGCAGGGCTGTTGGTTGAAAGATGTGGGCTAAGAATCTCCGACTTTAGTCTATTCAGAACGAGATTACTAGCACAGCGTCTTCGACTTTCGAATTGCGTGAGGCACAATTAGTTCTAGTCAATGGAAATAGTTGTCCCGCACGTTTTTCGCCCTGATCTCTGAACCGAAATTTCACTGCAAATTATATTTGGGGCAATCAGTAACCGTCCAGTTGAATTTTTTTTTCACCGTCAGCTCAGAAAACCGAAAGTTGGCTTTTTAAATTGTTTCTGGAATTGATAAGATTTTTTTCCAGGAAATTGTTTCACTGATTTTCCTTTTTTTTTTCAAACCCGTGGAAAAAGGCAAATATTTTTGTTTCCGAAATTGTTATTTAAATTTTATTTTGTCCATGAGTTTTTGTTACCGAAACCACTAGGAACCGACATTCCGATCTACTGTACCTATTTTATGCATATTGAACCGAAATCCAGCTGGTTTCTTTTTATTATTTAGTATTCTAGTTGATTTTTTTTTTTATACCTACTGATAAATAAAATTCCAAATAAAGTACCGCCACCGAAATTTCATATCGTAATATTTTTTTTTTAAATTATTATTATTATAATAAACGGACTTAAGTATTACTTTGACTGAAGTAAATTATTGTTTCCCTGTCCTATCCTTTCGACTCCCTTTGGAAGTTAATGTGGTTTCGAAATTTTCTACTTCAACTATCGAAGCCTTGGACATCCGAACTCCACTTAGTTATCTGGCAATCATCCGTAAGCGATCCCTTTGTCGCTTTCAAATAACTCAGAGGGAGTCGCTCGAGCAAAGACCGCCGTCCGTTTTAGAGTAAAACCGGAAGGCCTTACAATGGCCGCAGCTATATCTCAGGTTTTGGAAGGACGTATGGGCTACAGGAAAGCGTCCGCATCTTTCAATGTTCCGCAATCCACCCTAGAAGACAGGGTAAAAAAAGCTCGCCAAAAAAATCTTTCTGCTGAGTGTGCAGTGTGCAGCTATTAGGTCGTTTTCATACCGTATTTTCTGAGGCCCAAGAAAGAGAAATCGTTGAACATATCCTCCTTTTAGAAGAACGATTATTTGGCTTAACACTACAGGATCTCCGCAAATTAGCATTTGAGATAGCGGCAAAAAAACGGTATACCACATACTTTTAACAAAGAAAGGAAAATGGCAGGAAAGGAATGGTTGTACAGCTTCCTTCGAAGGCATCCTCAGCTTTCTTCAAGAGACCCTGAGAAGACATCTCTTGCACGCGCAAACAGGTTTAATAAAGTTGCAGTAGGAAAGTTCTATGACTTGCTCGAGTCCATTTATGAAAAGCATAATATATCACCTAGCGACATCTACAACGTCGATGAGACTGGGATATTAACTGTTCCGAACAAACCATCAAAAGTCTTAGCCCTGCGTGGAAAAAAACAGGTGGGGTGCTTGTCTTCAACATAACGAGGAGTTCTAGTTACAGTTGAAATGTGTATGAACGCAGCTGGTAACTTCGTACCACCCATGTTTGTGTTTCCTCGGAAGAGAAACAACCCCATGCTGATGGATGACGCACCACCAGGATCATCTGCATACTTTCATGAGAGTGGTTGGATTAATGCAGAATCATTTATTGCTTGGTTTCAACGGTTTGTGACCTACGCTAACCCCTCTCAAGAAAAACCAGTCCTTCTTATACTTGATGGGCATGCCTCTCACACAAAGAGTTTAGCTCTCATAAACATGGCGAGAGAAAAACACGTTATCTTACTGTGTTTTTCCCCACACACAACCCACCGTCTTCAGCCTCTGGATGTGTCGTTTATGGTGCCTCTCAGCACGTACTATGAACAAGAAGTTCGTAAATGGTTGATAGCTCATCCTGGGAGAGCAATCACAATCTATCAAGTGGCAAAACTGTTCGGTGCAGCATATACTAGAGCTGCTATTATGCAAACTGCCATTAAAGGGTTTGAAAAAACTGGAATACATCCCTTTAATAGGGATATCTTTCCTGACCATTTGTATGCCCCTGCAGACACAGCAGAAAGGCCTGAACCTGTCGCTGATCCTACTGAGTTAGATCGAGAAGAAAATGATTGCTCTAGTCAAAAAAATGAATCATCAGCTAGCAAAACTTGCAAGATTGACACACCTCCTAAGAGCACAGACAAATGTAACCCAGTAGAAACCTCGATGACAAACATTTATTTGAATCCACAACCTTCTACATCAGCAGGATCCTCATCATTTGCCATTTCGCCAAGAATGATGATGCCTCCTCCTCAAGAGTTGAATAGGAAACCACAGACGAAAAGCAGAAAGAAAAAGGGGAAAACTGCAATTCTCACCTCAAGCCCTTACAAGACGGAACTAGAAATGGAAGAAGAGGAAAAAGGGAAAAATCAAAAAAAGAAAAACGTAAAAAGAAAAGTAATGGAAACCAATGACGAAGATAACCAAGAAAATAAAGAAAACGGAAAAAAGAAAAATATAAAAAATCAGCCCAAGCCAAACAAGTGCGATTCCATATCTTCAAAACAGGAACAAGATGAAGAGAATGCTAACAAAAAAAAGCGAGGAGATAATGGAAATACAAATATGGAATTTAATGTTAAAATTCAACCAAAGAAACAAAAGTTTTGTGACACGACGGAATCAAGTTCAGAAGAGGAAGATGATGATGAGGCTTGCATATTTTGCAACGAACTTTACACAAAATCTAAAGCCAAAGAAGGTTGGATTCAGTGTAATGTGTGTGGAAAATGGGCCCAAGAAGCTTGTTCAAATGCGGAAGAAGATGATGACTCATTCACCTGCGACTTTTGTTCAGAAACATAATGTTTATTTAGATACAAATTGTTTTATTTGAATAAGTTTCATTTAGATCTAATATGATTATGTCTCACCGATAGGTGTTATACGTGTTATAAAGACCACGGCTCTCAATTAAACAGTTTAAATAAAGTTGTTTCCTAAATTTCAGTTTTTTTAATGTAACTGAATGATGTCCCGATTTTACCCATCCCGTGGGGCAAAACCGGTTATTTGCAGATTTGTTTCAAAATGCCTCTAGACTCCGAAGTAATATCATGTAGTGTTCAGATCCTATATATTTAAGACTCCATTTTTTAAGAAAAACAAAATATTTGCTATTAAACATTAGCGTCCCGATTTCGAAAAACTATCCCCTAGATGGTAGCGGGATTTCTGCGAGTAATATAAAGATATGTTTAGCCAGTGAAGCTGAAGTACTGTACAAAAAAAGTCATGATAATATCCCGATTCGTGTTAATAAGGGAAATATTGTCGACAATATTCTTTTCGAATTTAAAGAAAACAGTGTTTAGATGGAACAATCCACCGATATGAGAAGCAGTATTAACCCATTATCTGCCAAAGGTGCGCTCACGCACCTTTCCATTCTTATTTTTTTTCTGAGGCCAGCTATGAAATTTTCCGGTTTTTCATACACAAAATCGTATGACAACCGTTCAGAGAGTTTACTAAGTATTTTTATTTCCTTAGTTTTTCATTTCTAATATTTAATTTTTTTTTTTGAAAATGTGCCATTTTGAACTTTTTCACCTATTTTCCATCAAATATTGTTTTTAGCTAGAAAATATTAGCTAACTGCTTCTCTTATGCATGACATAAGTAAAAAATATTTATTTTGATAATCCTATAATTTGTTTCCACTTAGGTTTACAAATCGACTTTCATATTGACATATATATGTAGTGGATGCGTATACGCACCCTTGGCCGAAAAGGGTACATATATTCGCATCATCGTGATGTGTATTTCATATTGCCTACCTGAGCAGCTACATGTGATTTCGCCAGCAAATCTTCTTGTTGAGGGTTCACAGTTGGTGAGACGTGACAAACTGAAGCGCGAATGCAGCATGAAAACTACGTCTCGCTTGTTATTTTTTATAAAACAAAACCTTTGAACTAATTATTTTTGCGTTGATAGTTTTTTTTTGGATAAATTTAGTACCAAAATGAGGTAAAATATTTTTGATTTTATAGAAGTTATAGAGGTATAATTTTGTTTATAATATTGCAGTGCTTTTTCAAAAAGGGAAATGAAAAGGGCACTAACTGCTACAGAGCTACTTGCTATATTAGAAGAGGACTCAGATTGTGAAAACGCTGAATCGATTGATGTTGTTTATGTGCCTCCAGAAACAGAGGAAATGACAGATGAGGAAAACATTGACGAAAATATTATCGGGGAGGAAAGACTGCAAACGGATATTGCAGGAACGTATGAAATACAATCCAATAATATTGATAGTGATTATGATTCCCAAGATGACCTTCCATTGAGCGAATTAGGAAAACGTGCTAAGTTAGAGTCTAGAAACGCTGCGAAATCCAAACCAAGTACCGTTCCAAACTGGAAAAAAACACACACAACAACTTATACTAACTTACCGGAAGTCTTTTCCAATAGACATATAGAGAATATAAAAGCTGAACATGGTGGTAAGACACCTTTTGAAATATTTTCGCTGTTTTTTGACAAGGAAGTGATTGATAATATTGTGAATTTTTCAAATACTTATGCTTCTCAAAACAACCGTCATGATTTTGATCTTACCGAAATAGACTTGAAGAGATTCATTGGTGTACTTATATTATCTGGGTATCATCATCTTCCACAAACTGACATGTACTGGTCAAAAGATGAAGATAAAGAAGTTCGTGTCGTAAGAGAGAGCATGAGCCGAAATAAATTTAGATCCATAAAGCAAAACATTCATTTGTCAGATAACACGCTGCTAAATAGAAATGACAAATTTGCAAAGCTTGCGCCTATTTTTGAAATTATAAATAGAAAATATTTACAGTTTGGGATCTTTGCCGAACATCTCTCAATAGATGAAGAAATGGTTCCATATTTCGGGCGTCACTCATGCAAAATGTTCATTCGTGGAAAACCAGTGAGATTCGGATTCAAAATATGGTGTCTTTGTTCCGATACTGGTTACTTGTTCAAGTTTATTCCATATGGTGGAAAAGCAGAAACGTCAGACAAAAATAATCCATTAGGAACAAGAGTTGTATTAGATCTATTGTCTGCGGTTGAAAATCCACAACAGCATAAAATATTTTTCGATAACTTTTTCACGTCCTATTCCCTTTTTGAAAAATTGATAGAAAATAGCTTCTTTGCAACCGGAACAGTGAGAGAGAATCGAACCGCTAAATGTCCAGTTGAAGATAATAAAGCCATGGCAAAAAAGGAAAGAGGCTCTTATACTTCTGCCTTTGACCCAAACTTGGGAGTGCTTGTAACAAGATGGAATGACAATTCTGTAGTCACGGTAATGACAAATGCATGTAATGTTTTACCACTCATGCAGACAAAACGCTACAACCGAAAGGAGCGCAAGGAAATTCTTATCCCTCATCCAAATGTAATTCATCAATACAATCAACATATGGGTGGGGTAGACCTCCATGATAATGGTATCGCCAACTATCGCATCGGAATAAGAGGCAAAAAATGGTGGTGGCCTTTGTTTACTAATATGATAGGCAGCATGGTGGTAAACAGTTGGAAAATCTACAATATAGCGAATGAATCCAAAATGTCTCAAGTAGAATTTCGCTCGAACTTAGCACTCTGCTTGCTAAAGTATGACGGAGAGGAAGGTAACCATGATGCTTCAAATACTTCAAACAATGGAAGACCCTCCAAATCCGCTATACCAGCTGATGTGAGATTTGATAAAATCAATCATATCATAATTAGGGAGGTTAATAGTGCAAGGAAAAAGTGTCGATTATGCAAAAGTAACAGTATTTATCTGTGTAAAAAGTGTAAGGTGCATTTGCACCCAGACTGCTTTGAAAATGTCCACTCTAGAAACTAAGTTTTCTTAGTAATATCATTAACTGTTTTTGGCCAAGGGTGCGTATACGCACCTATGATTTTTTCTTCAAAAATTATGTGTATATTTTTTTTTTTTGGAAATCTGTCTTAATTTATGTATTTTAAATACACTTAAATAAAAAAATAAAAAAAACATCCTGTTTTACTTGCCTTGGCCAGTAATGGGTTAATTTGGAGATTCTACAATATACTCAAGAAAAATCTCGCGACATAGGACTCCTAGACAAGTATCCTATCTAATACGTCTCTACCATCTTCAGCACCTGTAGAAAGGTTATTCTTCTCTTTCGCTACATTTTTAAACACACCACGACGTCATGCTTTATCGGACGAAGATTTTGTGGCATTACTGCTTTTGAAGGCAAATAAACAATTCCATTGTAGGACGAGAAGTACAAATATAACAAATACTTTTTTTTTCAATAAATAATACAGTTCTACAAGATGTTTAGTAGCAAAATGTATGTTTAGCTTGTTAAGTGTTTCCTTATTTTTTGTCTTGTTCCTTAGGTGTCTACTGTTCTATTTTTTAATGTTTCTCTCATGTCTATTTAAAAAATTTGTCTATTACATTTATTTTCTATTTATTTTTTCTCTGTATTGTGTTCATGAAAACTTTTTAGTTGTGTCTGGTTTTGCATCTGTTTGCTTTGGATAGAAAGAGACAAGGTTTATTCAATTTTTCATTTGTTTTAAAATACTAAAAGAGAAAGAGATACGGAACTATATCCGGTAAGAATTAAAACAATGTTATTATTGAAATCTCATGGAAACGCAATCTTTTTAATCCGTAATATAATCCAGAGAAAAAAGAGATGATAATTCTAACATTGTTTTGACGCTTTAAGGATAATTCGACCGTTCTATACCTTGCTCTCTCATTATTTTGAAATTAATCAGATCAATTTTAATTATAAGGTAACGTAAAATGGAGTGAATAGGATCTACGGTGTGAATAGGGTCGAAAGTGATGTAATTATTTAAAAAAAATCCTGCTCCAACAATTTTGAAAATTAAAGGGATATCTAGTTATATTATCGAAGGTATAGGTGAAATAAATAACTTTTTTGTACTTACTTCCGAACTAAAAAATGTGGCAACGTCGCATCTAGTGTAGCATAACCGGCAAGTAAAATTTAACCTCAATTTATAGGGTCTAAAAAGTTGATCAGTTCTGAAGGCAATATTTGGCAGAACATCTAGGTAAGTGATTTTTTGTGAATGTTAGACATCCGACTTCTTCTACTTAAATGGTCTTTTTCATAATATTTGTCACTTTTGTTTTTTTTAGATTAAGTCAGAAAACCACGAATTGCTTCAGGTTGTGGGGTGAATAGGATCACTAAAAACGGCGCGAAACAGCGATGCCACGTACATACACACCAGATCCGCGTTCCAAGCGTTACCAAAAATACGGTGTTCACATCGTGGCTAGGGCTATCGCTGTAGTTCAGAGAGGCTTAAGTATTAGAAAAGTTGCAGATGAATTTAAAATTCCTTACACGGTTCTTCAGAGAAGAATAAAAAATGGTCCAATTGTGAAAAAGTACGGTGGACAAACTGTGCTTACCGAAACTGAAAAAAACTCGATAGTTATGACTTGGGCAACGATTTTGATATCTGCAGCTACATTTACTAAAATTATAAAAATAGCAATGCACAAAGTAATTTGTAAGCTATATTATTATTATTATTATTAGCATTATTATTATTATTAGATGTCTGTTTTGTAGGAGCCCATAAACGTAGACACATTCAATGTTGTTTATTAATTTATTTGTTACTGTTACTGTTTTTTCTTTACAGTATACCTACTTAAATATTAAGATCATTTTATTTTTATTCCTTTCCGAAAATTCCACGCTTTATGTACAGGTGTTCCTCGTAAAGGCTCCAGTTCATATTAACCACCACCCCTTATTTTAGGACTCATATAGTTTCAAGTAATTTTTAATTTCATATGTACCCATTGGATTTTTGCAACAAAAATTTTTGGTTGATGCCTGGTATGACTCAATTTTTTTAAAACATTTTGTTAAAAATATTCGTTTTGTCGTTATGGGATTTAGTTTTAATTGTTGCTGTTATATAAAGCAAATTCAAAAGGATAGTTTGAAAAACCAAAATGACAAAAAAATACAAAAATGGAACTTACAAGAGACACTCTGTACATTATGACATAAAAAAATTAGCTAACATTATGTTTAATATTTTAGATGCTTATGATTATATTATAGTCATATTATTGAATGCAGTCATATTGCCTACTGGTCGATTTGCAGTCGAGAAGGGCAACAGTAATAGTATTAGACGAAAAGCCACTATTCAAGATGCACAAAATAGTTTCACTCTAAGAATTACAACAATAAATGATTTCCAGAATGCAGTTGGAGAGCTTCGAAGCAAGTATTATAACCAAGGTTTGACCTCTGCCTAGTGTGTCTTCACTTATAGCCTACCTAAATAATGCACAGCAACAACATAAAGATTTGGCAAAGGATTAAATAATGTTCAATTGTTATAAATGTGCAGTGAATTTTTCTGATCTTAAAGAGTTAATCAATCATTTGAAATACAAACATTTCGTAACTTCCTCAGACACTTTGCAATGTAAGCAGAATAACTGCAACCAATTTTTTTCGTCTTTTAAAGCTTTTAGAATTCACATTCTAAGAGTACATAAAGACACTAATCAAGAAAATTATCATTTTCAAGAAAATTCGAATTTAGAGATTCAGACAGAAAATATTAATAAAGAACCCACTGCCTTAAATAATGACTCTTTTGACAACAATAATTCAGAAATAAGTTCCATTTACAACTTAAACGAATCACTTAATAATTTAAGAGAAAAGGCACTGCACTTTTCCCTAAACTTTCATGCTCAAGATAACATGACCAGGAGCGATGATCTAGAAATTCAAAAACAGGTAACTCTACTGTGCTCTTCAATTGCCGACGCTTTAAACAATTTTTTTAAATGTAACACATCAGAGTCTATACCAGAAACTATCTCTTCTTTACTAGGTCTATGCAAAAACCCATTCAAAGACATATCCACAGAACATAGGTTTTTTAAAAATCTAAAGGAACTAGGATTGTACCAAGATCCACATTATCATGAACTGAGCAATCACGTCACAGAAAACGTTTTGAATGGAAATCCAACTTTATCTGGCAAATCATTTTCATGTTATTTTATGCCTTTGCGTTTTCAACTGAAAACATTTTTTGAAAGTCCAGGAGTTTTATCACTAACACGCAATTATTATTATGAAAAAATAATATTTCGCTGGCCCAATATAACAAGGGTGTATGTTACAAATTTATAAAAATTGGACTAGTACACTTACAAGGTACTATGTCGTCTGGGCTACACATAGAACCTGGTTTGAATACAATATCACACTTACAATGAATAAAAATAGGAGAACTACAAGGGTGTATGTCATTTTCGTTACAAGTTTGGTATTACAAAGGTGTATGTTTATACATAGGACTATAGGACCCGATTTTATGGGCATTATTAATTTACCGGACAACAAAGTTGTATGTGAAACCATACACCCTTGTTATACGTCTCTCTTAGATACATAAGAATATCAGGGTTTTATGTGACTCATAGGACCTTATTATAATACATATCTCTTTTTGCATAGGTTGATGCAACAAAGATCTATGTTAGAACATGCACCTTTGTAATCGAACTCTGTTGTCTAAAAATTATAGGTTATGTTGATTGTTTATGTTCTAGCGGTTTCATTGGAATGCAGTATTTTTAAAAAATAAGCTATACTTATAGTGAGTTTTTTAAATTAATGTATTTTTAATACTGTTTGTGTACAAAATGGAAGAAGAGTTTGCTAGCTGTAGCAAGGATTTCGAGTCATACGATTCCGACAATGATACACAGTTTATTCCGGAAGTACACCAAAAGAAACGTCGGTAAGTAACTGAACGTTTTTATACGAAAAATATATTGCACTTAAACTGTTTTTATAACAAAAATGTAATTATAAGGTGTGCTTGCTAACCAACCCTATTATTTTAATCAAGTTGTAGACCCTTAATTAGGTGTATGTTATAACATAGAACTTTGTTACTTTAATATGTTTAAATAATATGCACAACAAAGTTCTATGTGTCTCACATGAGTACATCTTTTTTCCTTCATTATAATGAAATTATATTTATTTAGGGGAGGTATCTAAATCTAAATAGTTGCCCAGAACTTTTAGACATTAACTCAAACATGTTAAATACATATTATTGCTGTATTGCCGAAAATATTATCAAGAAAATGAATTCGCAGGGGGATCCATTATTGTTTTTTCATGGTGTATCTGTTTCTGAAACATTTTATTTGTTCCACGCCGATATAGGTGAGCTAAAAAACATTTTTGGGGAAATAAAAAGTAAAAATTCTGCTGGTTTAGATGAAATGTCGTTGAGAGTATTTCAGAACTTATCTGAGAGTGCCATGGGTTCACTCGCTGAAGCTATTAATAAGTCGTTTGATTTGGGTATTTTCCCCTCTTGTCTTAAAACTGGTCTGGTGAGGCCTCTATTTAAAGGTGGAGACGTACAGGATCCGTCATGTTACCATCCTATATCCATACTGCCTACACTTTCAAAGATAATAGAAAAACTAGTAAAGAAGAGAATGATGTCATTTATTGACAGACATAAATTACTGAAGGACTGCCAGTTTGGATTCCAAGATTCGATGGGCACAAAGGATGCCATGTTTGCCTTTCTGGAGCGGCTGTACCTGGGTTTAAATGGCGGCGATGTGGCTGGGGCAGTGTTTTGCGATTTCTCAAAGGCCTTTGATTGTGTGAATCGGAAAATACTGCTGCAGAAGCTTCAATGTTATGGATTTCGGGGGGTTGCTTTGGGGTGGCTTGCATCGTACTTGTCGGACAGAAGTCAGCTGGTTAGATGGCAGGGACGCGATTCCGAACTGCTTGTAAATTCCTATGGTGTGCCCCAGGGTTCAGTTTTGGGACCGCTTCTTTTCATTTTGTATATCAATGATTTGGCAAATCTCGATATTACTGGTCGCCTTACTTTGTTTGCGGATGATGCCACGATTTTATGGCTGGATCAGTGCCCAGATCGGCTCAACAATCTAATGTTGAGAGACATAACAAAAATTAAGCAGTGGTGTGATGCAAATTGTCTATCTTTGAACATTAGCAAAACTAATATTTTGTCTTTCAAATGTGATTTGAAAAATATTCCATTGGAAAACAGCATTCTGGAAAATAGAAGTGATGTAAAATTTCTGGGTTTACAAATTGACAAGCATTTAAAAATTTCAGTACATGTCAATGCTCTTAATAAAAAATTGGCCTCAGCTTGCTATGCTGTTAGGTTGGTCAGTATGGACTTGGGTCATTCTTTGGCAAGATCGGTGTATTTTTTTTTGGTGGAATCAAACCTTAGATACGGAATAGCGTTTTGGGGTTTTTGTAGCGGACAACTACTGCAATCTGTTTTTGTCCTTCAGAAGCGGGCTCTAAGATGTCTTTGTAGACTAAAACCAAGAGACCATTGTGAACCATATTTTAGAAGTGAAAAAATACTTACATTACCATGTCTTTTTATATTAGAAACCGTAATCTTAATTCATAAAAAATATAAAAACATGGAATATGGAAATGGTTACAGTACTAGAGCTGACGGTGATCTTCGGCTTCCAATACCAAAAAGTGCTCTTACTAAGAATTCACTGATTTATGAGAGCCAAAAAATTTATAATCATTTACCTCGAGTGTATAGGACTATTCAGAACATGAAATTTTTTTCGAGAAAGGTTAAATTGTTTTTACAGGACAGAGCATATTATACATTGGATGAATTTTATTCCGAAACTTTTTAGACTGGTATGGTTGTGACCGTTTCTTTCATAAAAACTATATTTTTGACAGATTTTAATGGGCTAGTAAACCTTTATGTATTGTAGGATTTATGTTTAGACATATTTGGTGTGACTGTTGTTTTATTATTTTATTTCACCTTTTTTGTACTTACATGTTTGTTTGTTTTATTGATATGTATTGTCTTATTTATTTTACAGTTTTATGACATTTTTTAGAATGCAATTTAGTGACTGAATATTTCATTTGAATTTAATTTTTTCTCTATTTAATTACGTATATGTAAGCATATTATATTTGAGCTTTGTAAATGAGACCATGTCTTTTTATACAATAAAGCATATTTTGATTTGATTTGATTTGTATTGCGTTCGTATGTCTGTGTGTATGTGCGCGTGCTAACAAAATGCCTATTTATCTATTTTTTTTCTATTTTTCAGGTTCATAAAAATTAGAGGAAAGATGATTGAAATACCTTGTCTTTCGTCTGACTCGTCGAGTGATTCAGACTCCGATAATGATGGGCATCTGAGTCATTCAAAAGCGCAGTCCAGGCATAAGGAGGTTTCTAATAACGGGAAGAAAGTACATGTTCTTCAGAATGTTGTGATTTCAAATGCAGGCTGTTGTAGCAAACAAGATAAAGATAACAAACAATTTAGAATTAATGAGGAAGAAATAGAAGTGATACGCAAAAAAGAAAATGAAGATAAGTTAAGGAACAAAACCGAGAATGAAATTGAGTTGGATTTCAGAGCAAGCTGAAGATAACAAAACCGAGAATGAAATGGAGTTGGATTTATTAGAGCAAGCTGAAGATGAAAAAGTGGACGAGGAAGAGCCAGCTAAGAAATTAACCCGAATAAGACAAAGGCATGCAGAAAAATGGGCAAGTAATATCAGAAAAGAATGTTTTGACAGGGGAGAAGAATATATTTCGGTTCGAAAAAAAATAGTGCCTGCTAGGAAAATAAAAACAAAGAAAGATTGTTTAAACAAATGCATTTATAAATGCGCTCAAAAAGTGAGTGAGAACCAGAGAAGAGAAATATTTTCCAATTACTACAAACTAGACGCAAATGAAAAGAGAATGTTTATCTTAAACATAACAGTAATGTTTCATCCAGAAAGAAGAAGGAAGGGGAAAAATGCTATGAATTCCAAAAAACAGAATAGTTTTACATATTTTTTTACTATCCAAAACGACAAAATTCAGGTATGCAAATTATTTTATTGCGGTACTTTGTGCATAAGCCAAAAGCCGATTTACAGCGTCCACAAGAATAAAACAATTTCGAACACACCTGGAGCCACTGCACAGGGAAAACATAAGAAAAAGTTTACACCACAAGAAAGTGCTAATCTTGTGGTGTCAATATGTTTCCTAGAGTCGAATCTCACTATTGCCGCCCAGACACTAAGAAAGAATATCTGGAAGGGGATTTATCAATAAAGAGAATGTATGATTTATACACAACCTTTGTCCAAGAGAAAGGTTTTGCTCCTGTTAAGTACTGTATTTATCGGAAAATATTTTGTACACAATTTAACATAAGTTTTCACAAGCCGAAAAAAGATCGGTGCGATTTATGCGCAGAGATTGAAATAAAAGGAAATGAAGAAAATGTTTCTGAAGAACTTGGAATTGAATATAAAAAGCATCTTAAAGAGAAACAGGCCATGAGGGAAAACAGAAAAAAGGATAGAGAAAACGATATTCCGGTTCTATGCTTTGATCTGGAAAATGTTTTGAGTTGTCCCAAAGCCGAGATTAAAAACTTTTTCTATAAAAGTAAACTTAGCGTTTACAACATGACTGCTCATTTATCTGTAAATAAAGACGTCTATTGTGCGGTGTGGTCGGAAGCTGTACATGGAAGGAGTGGCAACGACATTGCAAGCGCTGTGTATAAAATTTTAAATCAGGTCTTGTAGGAGCATCCTGAATTTGAAGAAATAATTCTCTGGAGTGACAGCTGTGTTCCTCAAAATAAAAATAGCCTGATGAGTTTTGCTATGGCTCATATTTTGCAAAAGTTTCCGCATATTAAAAAGCTTACTATGAAGTTTTCTGCGCCAAGACACTCCTGCATCCAAGAAGTCGATGCCGTTCATAGTGTCATAGAACGATCTTTAAGCAAGTCAGAATATTTCTCACCAGTTTCTCTATTGAGACTTCTGGTAAAAATATATAGACGAAAACCATACAAAATAATTCAAATGGTATCTCATGACTTTATCGACTTTCAGTCATATTCAATGAAAATGAATTATAAAGAAGTTCCTTTTTCAAAGATAGCATGTTTACAGTTCTCCAGATGTTTTTGGGAAATCAATTATAAAACTGCATTTCTGGATTCCGATTTTGTGTCATGTAATTTAAAACCTAGACGAAATATTAGATCTCATGTCACTGCTGACTCACATGAAGCGGAGGATATTCCAATGATCCTGAAAAAGAATGATGCTAAAGCAATTACTTTACCCCAGAATAAGATTGAAGCCTTACATTCAATGTTTAAAGGAATATTATAAAACTATACTTCCGCAAAATCCAAATAAGGAAAAGAAGCGGAACAATAAATCCGTATAGAAAGGGTTAAAATTTTCAACTTTTTTGCATTTTATGTTTTTTGTGTTAAGTTAAAAATGCATTTTCTCTTCTCAAGGATATTAAAGATTTAGTTTGAGAATAATATATTTTCTGTTTTTTGAATAACTAAATCATTTTGTTATATTCCAAGGTTGTATGATACACTTTTGGTAGAAATATTTTTTTTGTTGAAGTAACGAAGTTGTGTGTTGTTTTTTTCATTAAAAAAATATATATTTTTTGGTAAATAATAATATTTTTTTGTGTGTTAACCTTCTTTTCACACCCAAAAGAATGAAGTGGAACAAAAAAGTTTTGAAAAAATATTACCAAAGTTTCAATCGAAATGCAAAATTTTTAAAATCGTTTTTCTCATTTTTAGCATTTTGTTACTTAGAACCATGTAATATTGGGCCAGCGAATTTGTCATTTTATTAATGGCGAGTCATTTGCAAACAAAATGAAACATTTTAGTGATAAAACTGTCATACCTATATTCATATATTTTGATGATTACGGGATAAACAACCCTTTAGGAAGCCACGCAACTTCTATTTTGGCAGGCTACTATAGTTTTCCTACAATTCCACAATATTTACAATCTCAGCTAAAATTTATTTTCAATTTTGCATTCATTAGAAGTAATGATAACAAAGAATTTGGAAATGACAGAACTTTCCATCATATTATTGAAGAATTTACATTTTTAGAAACAGAAGGTATTTTTATCAATTAACTACCACAATTTATTTTATTTTGGGCGCCGTTTTAGGGGATAATTTGGGTCTTAATAGCAGATTGGGCTTTACAAAATCGTTTAATTCCAACAGTTTTTGCAGAGCTTGTAAACGCATAAAAACAGAGACAAAAAAAGATTGTGTCGAAATCACTGCGTACCTAAGAAACAAAACTAACTACACCCAAGATCTAAATCAGAAAGATGATTGTCAAAATACTGGAATAATTATATTTCACGTAATGCACGACTTATTTGAAGGTGTCTGTCATGATGATATATGTAGTGTTTTGCTTTCGTTAATTAAAGATAATGTAATTTCTGTAGATACCCTTAATACGCGTAAAAATCTCTTTCAATATGGAGAAACTAAGTAGTTTATATTTCTACATCTTTTATAGATATTAAGCGATTACAGTCGTATAATTTTAAAATGTCTGCAAGGGAAATGTGGACTTTCATTCACTTTCTTCCGCTCATGATAGGAGACTTAATACCAAGAAGTAATATACCATGGAAATTAGTTTGCTTACTTATACAAATAGTAGACATGGTTTTATTACCTGAATATAATTCTGAACATATTGATAATCCTAAAACGTTAATTAAAGAACACAATGCTTTATATATGAAACTTTATGGAGATCTAAAACCCAAGCATCACTTCCTCGTTCATTACCCTTCTCTTATTCGTAAATGTGGACCACCCAAATTTATTTGGAGTTTTAGATTTGAAGCTAAACATCAAAGTTCAAAGGCATACTCCAGCAACACAACATCTAGGATAAATATTCCCTACACATTATCTGTTAAAGCTGGTCTCAAATTTTCTAAATTTCTTATGGATTTTAAGAAGGGTTTGGATGCTGAATATACTTTGGAAAATGAAACTTTTTTAGATACAAATGAACTTACAAATTTTTCACAGGTCTTTTTAAATCCGAGCCAAAAGGACCATTTAATAACTGCAAAGATTGCTAAGTCAGGGACTTATCACGGCAAAAAATACAAGTCAAATCTTTACTTGGCAGCTTCAGAAAATAAGTCCAAAAAGCTCTATAAGATTGTATATATTGTTAAACTAAACAAAAATTCACTGCACATTTTAACACATGAAATAGAATTAAAAAGATTCGATAACCATTTTCAGTCATTTGAAATTGGAAGATGCTTCAATGCTTTGTATCTTAAACCAATTGAAGATTTCTCGTCGCCCCCATTAAACCTATATACTGCAAATAATGGAAAAGTTTATTTAAGAAATAAATATTTATAAACAGATCTCCTCAGGGAAAATTATTTAATAGTTTTTAGTATTCAGTTTTTTATTAATCTGTTAAGTCTTTTACCAAATAATGCCCACTTGCACCGTTTTGTCTAACTGATCAGTTAAATTAACGGACAAGTTAAAATTTAGGGGTAGATTAATTTCTAAAGTCTTGCACCGTGATTTTTTAAGTAATGCTCAAAATTTAACCAAGGATCTAGGGAATTTCACTAAAAATCGGAAGTATTGGCACAGATTGTATTGGTATAAATCATAGAGTACAAGTTAACTTCATACTCATTTCTGACGTAAATATTTTGACATTAATGGCAATTATGTTTCTTCAGGTTTCTTTTAATATTCCATGAATATTCCTTTCAATTTTTCGATTTTTCATTACCATCGAAAATAAAGAGGTACTAGTGGCTTGACTTATAGGTCCCAATGTCTATGATGGAATAATTTCGCAGGCATTTCACTTAAATATCATTTTAAAAATAGTTTCCAATCGAAAAAGTGCAGAATATTGCATTTAATTTCCTACGATATGAAAAAGTTTTGGTACATTTTAGTTACAAACACGCATAATTTAAATTTCAAGAAGGTGTTATTTAAAAAATGTTTTTCGTTTTTTTTGGTGGAGCTACGTCTCCGAGGATCTTCTCTTTGAGATTTGGCGAGCAGAGCGACCAATCAGAGACTCACTGGGAAATTCAGCTTTGAGACACAGCTGATAGTAAAGCATTCTCGTAGTTGATTTTCGAAAGGTGCCAAATCGTCAATTTTGAATATAATTTTCCGATGGCAAATATGCATTTTGCGCATTTATTTATAGCTTAAACGTTTCTCTTTGCTGAAATCTTAAAAAAAAAAAATAGAATGCCGGTTTTATTTGGACCCATAGTCACTGCACCCAAAAATCGTTAACTGTGATTTTAAACCACCGAAATTGGGGGTTTATTTTAAACAGCAGTTTAGAGGTACTTAAACAAGCAATAACTTGCGGTGCAAGTCAGTTACAAAAAATAAACCTTTGTTAAAATTTAAACCTCTGGTTAACTAACGGTGCAAGTGGGCATAAGACAAACAAGTTTGCGTAAAATAGTTATTTTATTTTCATAAACCTTGGCACCTCGTTTTCAATGCCATACCCTTACGTATATAAGTTAAACAGGAAATGTGTTTTTATTTAGAAGTAATTTTTCTTCAAATGAACTTTAATATTATGCAGGGTGCCTAAATTTAGAACACATTATTAACTTTATTGATTTAAACGGAAAACGTATTTAGACATTCCATTAAAATCTTGTTATTACGTATAGAATTGTAGATTCATTTAGCTTTACTAGGCAACTTACATATTATATGAAAAGTTTATCTGATAAAGAAATAAAGAGTTAAAATATAAGACGAATTTTTACTCAAAGCCACTGTGTTTACAAATGAAATGTTTATTTTTGTTAATAGGTATATTTAGGTCTTGTTTTTAATAACCATTAGTATAAATAATCTCAGTTGATGTTTTGAAGTTAATATATTTAGTTCTTGTTTCTAATAACCACTTATAAATTAGTAAATAAGCTCTGTTGATTTTTGTATCAATCAGTCTAAATAAAGTTTTTTGAGAATATTTTTTTTTTTTAATCAACCCCTGTAAGTCAAAGTAACTATTCCTGTTAATTTGAAACATAATTAAAATCTTTCTATTTTAAGATTATGAAACGGCGTGATCAAAACTCCAAGAGTAATAAATTAAAGTGATTATCTCATTAAAACATTCAAAATATCGTACTTTTAACAAGAATACATTTTTAAAATGTTTATTTCAATTTTTAAAACATATTTAGAAAGAATTATAAAGTCAATTGCTACAAGATTAAATTAATAACTTTTGCAATAAAACAAAGTGATAATATTTTTGTTTATAAAAGAATTACCATTGAAGCCTAGATGTATCATATAGTAATAAATTTAGGTATATTTTTAAAGCAAATAGAAAATTCTACATTTTAATATGAGCGGAATATCAATATTTTAAAGCTTCCATTTAGATTTAAATGGACTAGAGAATAGTACTTTAAAAAGAAATCACCATAAAATACAAATTCAGCTAATCAATTTAAATACGCATATAAGTGTTCCTTATTGATTTAATAAAAAGTCCAAATGACGCCAAAACATGTTTAAAATTTGTTGTTTCATTATCGTTTTTTTTTAATTTTACAATGATTTTTCTCTGAGTGCAGTAAACTACAGTTGTGCGCAGAATGGAGATATCCACTGGATATGTATGGACTACGCCTAATTATAAAACTATATTTAGAACGTCTAGGCAAAACAATAATTTAAAGACAATAAGTCAGGTAAAGAATTTGCTTACAGGTTTATGAAGAGGCATAAAGATAAACTTGCTGTTCGTTTATGACAAAATATCAAACGTGCCAGGGCTGGAGTTTCTCTAGAAGTGATCAATGATTATTACAATAATTTAGAAGATTCTTTAAGAGACATTCCAGCAAGTCACATTATAAATTATGACGAATCAATCTGAGGAATGACCCAGCCAGAAATAAAATGATTGCAAAACGAGGATGCAAATACCCGGAACGCGTCATGAACCAAACGAAATCGGCAGTGTCTACAATGTTTGCTGCAGCAGGTGATGGGAAAATGTTACCCTGTTACGTTGTATATAAGGCTAAAAATGTATATTCGATTTGGGTTGAAGGAGTCCTGAAATATACAAGATATAACGCAACCATTAGTGGTTGGTTTGACAATATAACTTTCACAGATTGGTTAAAAATCATTGCGATTCCATATCTGCAGAAACTTGATGGTGAAAAAGTATTAATTGGCGATAATCTCTTGTCTCATCTATCTGAGGAAGTTATCAGTCTTTGTAGTCAACATAATATAAGGTTTATTTTCCTGCCAGGCAACTCGACACATTTGACTCAGCCGCTTGATATTGCCTTCTTTAGACCTTAAATTGCCTGGCGTAAAATTTTACGGGACTGGAAACAGGGTCCAGGAATGAAAGAGCCGTCAGTCCCAAAAAGCATTTTTCCTCGGCTTCTTACAAAACTCATCATGGAAATTGAACCTAATTCAGCATACAATATAAGGTCTGGATTTTGCAAGGATGGTTTGGTTCTCATTAATAGAGACAAAGTTCTCTCCATTATACCAAAAGTTGGCGATAACATGGAAGTCCAAACTATAACAAACAACTTGGATGGATCTTTTTGTGACCTGCTTAAGGCGCTTAAGCAAATGCGCTATGGTGACAGTGACCTTAAAAAAAAAATCTGGAAAGAAAATTAATATTCAAGCTGGAAAAAGTGTTTGACATGAAAAAAGTTCTGACTCTGAAAGTGGCTCAGAAAATCATGAAGATATCGAGTTATCTTCTTCCGAAGCAGAAAATAATGACCTTTCCGATAATTCACCAATCGAATCCGAAGAAGAGGAACCAAATCTAGAAACGAACAGTTCTGTTAAAAATGTGGTTTTCAAACAAGGAAAGACATTTGAAAATGTTAGCGCAGTCCTTCAAGACGCAATAAAAATTGATGATTGGCTTCTGGTGGGTTTTCCTACAGAAACTAAAAAAGCTAGCTCAAGCTGCAGTTTACGTTTTTATTTATGCCAAGTCGTTAATAAAACTGCCACCGAAATTTCCGGAAACTTTCTTCGCGAGAAGCAAACGAGAGATTTTTTAGGGAACGTCTTTCAGTTTCCCGATAAACAAGAAATATCAGAGTTTCCATTTGATCAAGTCGTGGGAAAAGTGGAGCCCCCCGTAAAATATCTACGAGGCTATTTAAAATTTTCAGTTAACTTCCCCAAATTTAGTTTGATTTTTTTTAAATGTTTTGCCAAAGAATGCTGGTTTGCATTTTTAGTACCTAACTGAGGTTTCTATTTGTTTAAGTGATAACATTAGAGAAATATATTTTTTTTTTTGTATTTTTCATAAAAATGGCCTGTTTTATTTATACCATACGCCTATAATGATTAAATACGTTTTTTAAAACAATATGAATCCTATTCGCCACAGCGACGGGCGAATGCGATTTAACGTGAAATTATAATGCTGATTCTATTCACCCCAGCCGTTTGGTGAATGGGATCAGCAAACATAAAAAAAATATATGAGCCAAGGGAAACACCCTATATGAAATTATGGGTTATTATATGGTAGTACTAGCCTTAACTCATATTTGTGTACAAAGCAAAAATTTCTAGCACTTAACCCTAGATAGTTATGGCTGCTCAAAATTCAAAAATGATCCGATTCCCCCATTTTATGGTATTCACTGAATTGCTTAATTTAATTCAAACTAGTGGCGCCCTTATTCAAGCTGTACCACACTAAGGACCACCCCAAGCTAAAAAAAACTGAGCATAGCTGAGCATTATTATGAGCGGTTTGTTATTCACTAACAATTACCGTTGCAACGTATTGGAGCCACTTGATGTGGCGGTTTTCAAGAGTTTGAAAACTAATTGGGATAGAGAAATAGTTCGATGGCAAAGAAAGAATCCAAGAAAGAAGATTCTAAAACACACAGAAGAATCTGCAAACACCAGTGAGACTTGGACTGATACCAATAAAGCTAAGCCGTCTGTTAATGTGGAGAATGAAAGCAATGCGTATCTAAGCCAGCAAGAAAATATTACAAGCATAGACATTAAAGAATTTGAAGAGCCTATGGACATTGAAGGTTCTGAAGAGACTGTAGGGAAAGAAACGATTAGAGCTTCGACTAATTCGCAAAACAAAATAATTACTGATGCTCAGTCAATTGCAAATCTGTCGACTGCTTCCAATAAAAGCGGCAAAAAATTGATAAGGCCTCATTTCCCACGTCTACCGTTAAACAATGCAGGTAGAGGAAGTAAGATTACAATTGAAACTGCAGTTTTAGCATCTCTAAGATTTTATGCAACTGGGTCTTACCAAAGAAGTCTCGGGCAAGATTTTAATTTTGGAATAAGTCAGA